TCTGATGTTCAAATGCTCCCTCGAATTTTGCCCTAGGCTGTCATTTTAATGGCCAGAGGTCTGATTTTGATCCTCTCTCACAAATAGTCGACCCCAGGGTATCAACCAAACCTATATTAAGGAATTTTTAGCCCAATCCTACCCTCAACTTAATCCTAGTATCAACTATACTAATTATTTACCTCTTCTAACTTGATTTTATCAATTTATGGTCTTTTAAGGTAATAAAAGTGTTTCTACAGCTACAAGATAAAATTACTAATTAACCTTCAACCTACTAACCATTAAGATAAGAAAACAACTTAAGAGGCTTTTATAAAAGCTATGTTTAGATACCTTGAGTTATTATTGAACCAAGATAATTAGATATTAATTAGAAATTCAATTTTGATTATAGTTTCACTATATAGTTGTATTACATCATGACAATACTTGAATATTGTTTTGTCATAGGAAGAATAAGATAATTTGAAATATATATATATATATATATATATATATATATATATATTGAAGCAACTCCAATCATCTCTATATCTTCACTTCTTTCTAATCTTATTGTTCCTTGTAATAATAAATTAAATTGATACATTACAAGCATTAAATCTCTCAATTATTCTTGAATTTGTACGATTGCATTCTTCATTTTAATAAGTTTTATCATGATTACACAATAAAAAAAAAATATGTCTAATATTTTTTAAGATAAATAGAAGAAAAGACTCAAAAATAAAATAAATTTTAAAAAAAACATTAGTTTAAAGGTGAATAATCTGTAATTTTTAGTATGCTTATGTCTTATCAAGAAAAAGAGATAATCCACTCTTAATTAAGAAAAAATAAAGCTCTGATATTATAAGTATATTCTTGTCAATTCGTCAAAGATAAGAACTCAAAGAATGCAAATAAATAAGTGAATCTTTTTCAAAATAAAGATGACAAAATAAAAATAAGTAAATGTATATATTTAAAAGAAACTAAAATGATTGTTGCCAAAAGATATAAAAAATTAGAGACTATTGAAATTAAATGAGAAATAAGAAAGAAATTAATAAGAATGAAGAAAGCTTCACTCTTACCTTTATATATACTATCTAATTAAGAGTTGTATTGTGATGTTCTATAGGACCTTTAATATATGTCCAATTTATGAGACACATGTCTTAACTTATAAAATAAGTTTTGTATATGAGTGCCACATGATTAACTTATACAACAAGCTACCAACATGTATAAGACGTGGCTAACTTATTGACCAGATATTAATCTTATTAATGATCTATAGATATGTATAAAAGTATAAATACATCTATGTAGCTTTTTGGAAGATTGTTTATAAGATATTATCAAATTAATCTATTTTTACTTATTTCTATTTATTCATAATATCTAAATAACTATTGGAGTAAATATATATGTCCATGATATTATATGAAGTAAGATTTGAATACTTAGGTAGAAAAACTCCTTTGACTTAATATTCTTGTCAAATCAAATCTTATGAATGGTTTAAAGAAAGAATAAGCTTAAGTTGTAAATATTTTTTTAACTATCCTGATTTAGCTATTTAGTAAAATTTAGGATTTTTTTTACTAACATTTTCACTTTTAGATTCTCTTTTTGTAATATGATAGACAATTTAATTTATTTTTATATAGATTTATCATCTTTCCTTAAGAGTAAATTTTTTTTGTATTCATATTTGGCTTAGATTACATACTTTGTAATTAGTTTGTAACACTCAATGTATTATGTGTAACAATCTCTTTTTACATAACAACTTATATACTTAATTCACAAATCTTAAGATCCTTAAAAAGCTTAATTTAAGATATTTTAATTTTTTTAAAGAATAAAATAAATAAAATTTAATTACTCTTTAGATTTTTATCTTTTATATATATATATATCCATTTTTTATTAGGTATAAGTATAATAAATTTTGAATTTAATCAAAAAAATAGAATTAAATATTTTTTTGAAATAAAACTCTAATTTCAATTGATATATATATTTTTAATTTTTTTATTAATAAATACTATCAATTTATATAAATAATTATTTAATTTAATTATTTTTTAAAACTTAGAAATAAGCATTACAAACATTGCAATACTTTTGACATATTATGGTGTGTCTTAACAATAAATGTAGTTATAATTATTAAATTAATTATTAAAAATCATTCTATCATCTTCATTAAAAGTTGAATTTAGTTAATAAGGATACTACAGTTTATCATATACATTTTTGTGAGTTACATAAAAATTAGAAGTTCAATCTGAATTGGTATAGTACATGGAAAATAATCATAATCCTCTTTATTTCATTCAATAGTTGTAGTACCTTTTTTTTAATGCCACAACATGTATTTCAATCATTGATTTGATCCACCATCTTCTTATTTATTCCTGGAATATATATATATATATATATATATATGAACCTATCATTGAAATTTATGAATTATATGAAAATTAAAAATGGAATAAAGTTTCATTAGTTGGTATTAAGAACACATTTTATTACTTTTCAATTATTTAACTAACTAATTTATTTTAATCTGTAAAATCATATTGAAATTCAATTGATATCTAATATGTGTGTTTTAGTTTCCAATTTACAAAAAACAAATAAATAAATTAGAATCCAGACAGAAATTTTGATCTCATTCAAAGAACTTGATAAGATTAATAATAACATCGATTTCTTTTTATTATTTGATTTCACTTGCAAAGCCAAAACATTGTTGTTCAACCATATATAAACTCAACAATTAATTGTTTTTAGTGACTTGTGGTTTGAGTTTTCAAAGACTAACTATCTTGGATTTTGTTATATCCTGCTATCAAAATCTTTATTATTTTGACTCAATAATTTTAAAGATTATCAAATAAAATAATGTTTGTGTTGCAATATTTAGGTATTTAAACCTCTAAAATCAAGCTTTAAACTTACAAGATGAACTCATCCTATTTCACAAAAAGATGTTTTATTGCATCAATTAAAAGGTTGATACAACTTTGAGTATTTTTAAGTAAATCATTTAACTCTTCAAATTTAAACACTGAAACTTGTTCCTAGATATTTAAGCATACACATAATTTTTACAGATATAGATTGACTCCACACACCCAAAGGTAGTTAATACATCTTCCATCCAATTTTTCCCTATTGTTAGCAATTGCCCAAACGTTTTGATTATAGAGTACTTTTATAAATATAGGATTTAAAATGATTGTTGTCCTTTTCTCTTATTGTGACATCCACTTTGGACAACTTGAGCCAGACTCTCTTAAGCTCAAGTTCTCATGGTCCTTACCCTTAGTGTAAAGCAAATCTTACTTTTCCCACACACCAAAGACTTCAGGTTGAATCTTCGAATGATCTTTTTTCCATTTCTGCAGCTAAAAAAATTAGGGATATTATCTATTTCAACTTTAAAAACCCACCAAAGAATCCTGCCTAGAATTGACTATTTATATTCTATCATATGTCAAGCTTTAAGGAAAATGTTTGTCCACACAAGCTCCTTTCCCAGTTTCATGGCTTCTGTTTGCACAATGATGTTACTCTACGGATGGAGTATTGCACACTTTTGTTGTTGAAAAGTTTGGATGATTTCATCAAGTTTTCGTTGGAAGTATTTTTAGGTGGATGCCACATTGGCATTAGAGTGGGTCCATGTGTTGCTATAACGTGTGGGGGTCACCAACAGTGTCCTTTTTGGCTGACGGTTGATTCGATTTGCAAAAGCATTATTAGCAAGTCTAATGTCAAGTCCAAGCTCCCAAAACCACCAACCAAAAATTGACTCAAATGTGGACACAGAATGAATGAATGACATGCCAAAAAGTGATTTAGATGTTGATGTGGAATGGAACCAATTTATACATCATGTTTTTTGGAAATTGGATACATTAAATGCTAATGAAGTTATTGTGTCTACATGCAATATTTTAAAGTCCAATGTAACATGAGTGGATAATCATGGAAACGAAATCAAAAATGCACATGATTAAATGGATTATAACACTATCTTTCCTTTAGCAGGATAATTCATGGGTAATTAAAATATATGGGTTGTTATGGAGAATTGAGTTAATATTGGTATTTTATCTCTAATTTATTCCAATAATACATATGTACACACTTTTACACATACAACTGTGGTTGCTGGTGTCACCATAGTTTTTCTTATAAAACCTCATAATCTGCCATCCACCACTTGCCACCCCAATTTTTATTATTACCACAATTACATTTTTTTTTTATTGTTTTAAAAAATCAAATTTAGTTTTCATATCATTTGGAACAAGAAAAAAATATTAAAAACAATAATAATAATAATAAAATTAACGACAAAAGAAATAACTAAAAAAACAAACATATGTTGAGTGGATGGCAAGTTGGGGTGATAGTAGCAAAATACCATGTTGGCATAAACAATATAAATATATATATATATATATATATATATATATTATAAAATAGAGACTCTCCAGGTAAAAAAGAATCTCATATACATAAAACAAGACCGAGTTTATTGCCACTGCTCACTCTCACGCATTGCTTTAAAAAACCCACTGTAAACAAACTATCACTAAAACCTCGCAGACCAACCAATGCACACAAACAGCGTTTAAAATAATAATAAAAACAGTTGCCATGAGCTTCCGATGGCCTCCAGAAGTAAACTCTGCAGAAATGCATGGAAGTATCAATGACAAAAATTGCATGCAATGTACATCAAACGACGGCAAAGAAGGAAGGGGTTGGTACACAATCAGGGTTCCAATTTTGTAAAGCGGATGCGCACTGGAAGCCACGCAAGTGCATGCGTCGGAGCCGAGAAGGAACCCACAAGTTAGAACAATCAAAGCATGGAATCCTCACTATCGTCACGCATGCTCTGCAACGGTGCCTTCTTTTTGTGCTGTGGCCACTGCGGAGGAGACAGAATCTTCGGGTTGTGGGAGGGGAGGGGGGGGGGGGAGGACGGGGGAAAAAGAGCGGGGATCTCCCAGGAGTCTGAGCTACAAGACGATAGCATCTCGTGCTGCCGTAAAGGCATCGTATCACCGCACGAATCGGGAACTGGTGGAGTGCGAGCTGGTCCAATCTGCTGGTGCGGTTGGAGGTCGCGGAGGCTCCAGCAACGCAGGCAGCTACCTTTCAAGAGCCCCGCCCCCCACACGTGAGCTCCCTGAATTCGCCTTAAAGTCGTGGTTTCCGAAGCGAGTTTGCGGTTTTGGGTGGGAGCGAGGAGGGGCAGAGAGGTCTCGGTGTTCCTGCTTTGTAGTGTTAGATCGGCGGCCGCGGCCTCAGAGCAGATGGAGGCGGTGCTGGTATTGTTGGTCGCGGCCGTGGCGTTGTGTGGCGCGGGGTGCCATGGGGCAGAGTCCACTCCCGGGAGCTTGCTGCGGATGACGACGGATCTGGGCAACGAGAGACTTCTAAGCGAGCAGTTTGGAGCTTGGGCGCATAAGCATGGGAAGGTGTACAGTTCCTTGGAGGAGCATGCGCATCGTTACATGGTGTGGAAGGACAATTTGGAGTACATCCAGCGTCACTCGGAGAAGAATCGAAGCTACTGGCTGGGGTTGACGAAGTTCGCTGACATCACCAACGATGAATTCCGGAGGCAGTACACGGGGACGAGAATTGACCGCTCGAAAAGGTCTAAGCGCAAGACGGGCTTTCGGTATGCGGACTCCGAGGCGCCCGAGTCGGTCGACTGGCGGAAGAAAGGCGCCGTGACAACGGTCAAGGATCAAGGCTCTTGTGGTGAGATGCCGTACTTGTGGAGCTGAATTGGGGCTTCGTTACTTCAACGTGGTGGTTTTGGCTTGTGTAGCTCTTTGTGTGTTGTTAATTCCCGTGTTGCGAGTAACGAGAGCCTCTAGATCCTCGAGGTGCAGTTGCTTGTATTTTAGGAAGAAGGTTCCGTCGAAGTTTTTCTCATCACAACTCCTTTTCTTTTGTAATTTGTGTTGACTTGCGGCCATGGTTTTAGTTACTAGAGATTTGTCCTAAGTGTATCGTTGTTTTGGTACAGAGTTCTTGGTGTTTCGTACAAATTTGGTGTTTGCTTGAAAGAGTTGAATGCACTCGTGTAACACACACAACTATACCTTCGAAGTTTAGGGAATTGCTCCAATTGCGGTGTATATATCTTCTCTTTTGTTTCCAGGGGTTTGTTGTATGTTTTTGCTTCTGTCACTTGGAAGCGGTGGGTGCTCAATCTAGTTAGTGTTCTACTATAAATACGTATTAGGTTGGTAGCAGATGTCTCGAAAAAAACAAATTCGGACTTTACGGAGTATTCTCTGTTCGAGTACAGGTGGTTTTTACCTCCAAGTCTGCAATTGTGGTTGTACCCACTTGTTCTAGTAGAATCCTTCTAGTCCATTAACGATTATTGTGCTTTATAACTATCAGGAAGTTGCTGGGCGTTTTCAGCTATTGGATCTGTTGAGGGTATCAACGCCATCCGTACTGGAGAGGCTGTGTCTTTGTCAGAGCAGGAGCTGGTTGACTGCGACTTGGAATACAACCAAGGCTGCAACGGCGGTCTTATGGACTACGCCTTCGATTTCATTCTTGAAAACGGAGGCATTGACACCGAGAATGACTATCCTTACAAGGGTCTTGATGGCCGCTGTGACAACAACAAGGTAGAAGCCCGATGTCATTGCTCGACGTTTTCTGCAATTTCTGGATTTTTATCTTGCTCTTATTGTCATCACTTGACTTTATACCTTACTACCTGAAGCATACTAAATAAGGAAAAATGTTGTCTGTGCAGAAAAATGCCCACGTAGTTACTATTGATGGCTACGAAGATGTCCCAGAAAATGATGAAGAGGCATTGAAGAAGGCAGTTGCAGGCCAACCCGTCAGTGTTGCCATTGAAGCAGGTGGTCGCGATTTCCAGTTGTATTCTGGGGTAATTCCAAGCTCTGCTTTTCAAGTGATCTATGCCCTTGTTGTTTTCAAATAACTTTCTGTGTCTAACTGTTTGCCTTTGGAATTTGGTCGGCGCTTCTTTTGAAAGGAAGTGCACATAAAAGGAAGTTACCGTAAAGAAACTGCTGAGACACTTCAAAGTTGATCACTCATAGCTGGCATGTTGATTTTGCTGTGTCCTCAGGGTGTTTTTACTGGGGAGTGCGGCACCGATCTTGATCACGGAGTCCTCGCAGTAGGATACGGCAGTGAGGGAAGCTTAGATTACTGGATTGTGAAAAACTCATGGGGAGAATACTGGGGGGAGAGCGGTTACCTCCGCATGCAAAGGAATATCAAGGATTCCAACCATCAATTTGGGTTGTGTGGAATCAACATCGAGCCTTCGTATGCCGTGAAGACTTCCCCTAACCCTCCAAACCCTGGGCCCACTCCTCCATCACCGTCTCCCCCTGAAGTGGTAAGCAACAGCTCCTTTCACTTGTACTTGTGTGCATCTTTTCACTGCTTTAAGACTATTGTCCATTTTCGGTACTAATCGAAGACACTTTGTATTGACTTGTAGTAACATCGTTTGTTGTTTTACATCAGGTTTGTGACAAGTGGCGCACTTGTCCCTCGGAGAACACATGCTGCTGCACCTTCCCTGTTGGAAAGATGTGCCTTGCCTGGGGTTGCTGCTCTTTGGACTCCGCAACCTGCTGCGACGATCACTACCACTGCTGTCCGCACGATTATCCTGTTTGTAACTTGGCTGCTGGGCTTTGCCTTAAGGTGTGCCCTCGTTCTACAATTGTACTAAAACTTATGCGAAATAGGCACTGCAATTCTTGATTCTGCATCCAGATTCTGCATCCAGATTTATTTCTGAATGCCCCCGTAACGTGCATTCCCGTTTTTTTTTCAACAAATACACATGTATATACACAACAATGGGTCGTTCACTGTATGTCAATGATTTAAAACACTATGTTTGCGGCATTGCAGGGAGAACACGATAAGGAAGGAGTTGCGTTGATGAAGCGGACCCTAGCCCATTTTAACTGGCTAGGAAATTTCTAAACTGATTGGATGTGTGTGCACGGGAGATGCAACGCATATGTTGTGATCGGAGTGTGTAGCTCCGCAGTCCTGAAGAGCAGTCGAAGTTTGTTAATCGAAGCTTTTCAGGAGGAAGTGTACATAGCTCCCAGCTTGGCATTAGGCAAGCTCTACCTCCGCATTGCAGATACGTTTGGACATAAATTGTACAATTTTTTTTTCTTCTAGTATTCTCTTCAAAGGAGAAAATGTTGATGTGGTAGACCAGATGTGTATTTTTCGCTGCCACAAAGGCCTTTTGATCAGGCAGTAGTGTGATCTTGAACTGGTGTGAGCAGGAGGTTGATGGTCCTCACAAGACTGAGATACATTGACTATCTTGTGATAAGTTGGGAGCAGCAAGTAGCTTCATAGATTCTCTTGTAAGAAGCATTTCCAATTTCTGTTCAATATCTTAATTATCTTTCATGATTCTTTCTTATTGAGGATAATTTGTGTTCTCTTTGCAAGCACCAGTGATAGTGGCTTTTTAAAAATAGACGATCTCACCCTTTCCACTATCCATTTATGCAACCATGAATATGCGCTGTTTTGCTTCTGCTTTTTCACTATTTCATGCAGTTGAACACTTATGGTGTAACCAGTGTTTCATAAAAAAAATTGTCCTTGTATAGATGGTTGGGAGGGATATTTTAGTGGAATATGGAGTATTGTCGTGACTCCCAAGAATCATTTTAGGTCCTCTTGTATTTTGGCATATACATTCAATTGTCTTGATTGTTTCAATCAATTAATACGTTTGCTCACATTTTTTGAACGGATTATTAATGCTCATATTTTCGATACAGTTATTTATGTGTATAATTGTCAAGTTGTGTTTTCTGCAATAATTTTGTCTTGTAATTAGTTTGGCACGTTTTTTTTTTTTTTTTTTTTTTTTTTTTTCATTTTTCATTAATAATTTTAATCAAATGACATCAATTTGGATGTTGTTTACTTGTCATTGTACACTTGAATAATCATGATACTTACTACCAAATTATTGAAGTTTGACATATATGATATATTTTCATAAACAAAGTTCTAAACAATAGTTCTTCCACTTTCAAGCAAAACTCTTGGCTTTAATATTCACATGAATGTAGCATCATTTTTAAAGATTATATTATGATCCCTTAAAATTTTGGATAATTAATGCAATGTGGCACCTCCTTCTATCAAGTTTATTTTAACAACACAAAACTTATACTTCTTCATATTTAACAAGAACACGCCTACAATTGTGTGCAACAAGTACCAAAACATGAAGTAAAATAGTTGAGTTTGATATTGTATTCGTCTGTTTTTTGGTTTGTTTGGTATTTTTTCTCAACTATATAATCATTACATGCACAATGATAGTAATAAGAACATTCATGCATGTATCTTACAAATACTTTGGAAATGGAGTCTTCTCCACAGGGAACAGAAAACATGATACCACTTCCACTAAACATAGTAAAATCTTATCGTAATTAGAGAATAAGGATTCTTCGGAGTGCAGTCCATGGCGCGAAGCAGTCAGAATGTGATCGTCGACAACAGGGATTAGTGTCATTGTCGCCTCACCAGAAATTTCATGAGTGCACGGGAGTGAATGCATTTGGATCGCTGTCATTTCCAGCATATTCTTCTCCGCCTCAAGGTTTTAGTCAATCGCCGAATGGACAGATCTCATCGTTTGAATGTATGATTAATTTATATAATTATTTTTCTATGAATGAAGCTTGTCTAGTGAAAGCTAAACCCTAAACCTTGGGTTCTTGTTGACGACTATGCGGGGAGTCCCGGGATCAATGTTTTAGGATCGCGGCTCTCACTGCAGCAAATCTCAGGGGCTCCTTCGAAGCATTGCTCCAATGCTGGTATGTCTTTTTCATCTACTGCATTTCTGGTATTTTTTTTTCATCTTCGACGTCGATTTGGAAGGTGTGATGTGTTCCCTACTGGATGCGAGGTTCTCATTTTGCTGTGACTTTATTGTGGATGGTTTGGGCCTCTCACGAAATTCTGATGTTTTGAATTGGTTGCTGAAGACTTTGAGCATGATTCCTGATTGTTTTGAGTATGCCGCTCTCGCTTAGTCGAAGAAGAGTACTTCGTTTCTTAATTTTCTCATATGGTCATATGCTGTTTTAGCGGCGTGAATCGCACGTTCTGCGTAGAATGGAGGCGAGAAGTTTATGAAGCGCTTATTGAAGAAGGTAGGTTTAGAGAGGCGTGTGAATTGTGAGAAGGGATAGTAGGATGGGGAGGCGCGAGAATTTGCGGGTGGCAGGGGGGAAGCCAGGGCCATCTGACCCTCACCTTCTGAACAGACTAGAAGAGTTTGGTCAGAAGAATCCATTGAACGACATGGACGCTGCGCTTGAGTATTTGCGACGGTATTATCCCGAGTATCGCCGCAAACCGGCAATTCCTTTCAAGAAGTACCTTGCGCTACAAGTTCCTGAGGTACGGCGTCGGATGGAAGCGAAGAAGGAGAAGGCACTAGAGGTCCCTAAGACACCTCGGAGTCGCGCGGAGGATGAGGAAGAGAGGTTGAAGAAAAGAGAGGATGCGCATGTAAATGAAATGAACGGAGTAGGTGACATGAATGAGGGTCTGGCTTTTGACGTGGAAGATATTAACGAAATGGATCTGGATGATGTGGAAGAAGGGAGAGTGAGAGGGGAGGGCTCCTCTCCAGTGAAAGGAAGCTCGAACAAGGCCGGCGATGTCGAAGAAGTAGAAAAACCCGCATTTGCCCCCCTCCATGTAATAGCTGCTAAAGCGAAAGCTGCAATTGGAACGCGATTGGTGAAGATCCCACAAGTCCTACCAGAGATTAGAGAAGGTGGTGCAAAAGAAGAGAGAGATCTCCCTCTAATGCAGTTAGGTGGTTGTCCACCCCAAATCGTGAAGCCATCCTCTCAATTCCAGGGATCCATCCTTCAGCAAGAGAATGGGCGACCATATCTTGTACTCGCGTCAGCTAACAAAAGTGAGAAACCCAAGCTAAATGAGGACAATGCAACCACAAAGGTTCTGCAAGAGAGCAGAATCATGCGCAAACGAGAAAGAGAAATAGAGAAAGCTCGTGCAGGTAGTAAAAAGGGGAAGTGGGCTCACGACAAAAGTGAGAGAGAGGGTGCCGAAGATGGGTTTGGTAAGGGTACCAGCTCTGCTGCAGCAGTTCCTCGAAATGTTTCGTTCAAAAATTTTGGAGGGATTGAAGGAATATTAGGTGACATTCGAGATATAATAGAGCAACCACTAGCTCATCCAGAGCTGTATGAGTGGTTGGGTGTTCAGCCCCCGAGGGGAGTTTTATTACATGGACCGCCTGGCTGTGGCAAAACTATGCTTGCAAATGCAATTGCTGTGGAAACGGGGGTTCCTTTTCTGAAAATATCTGCACCTGAGGTAGTCTCAGGGATGTCAGGTGCGTTGCACGCTCTCTAAATTCTCCTACTTTCAAATTCTCTAGTCACGGAATCTCTCTCTCTCTCTCACACACACACACACACACACACTGTGTGTTGTTGTGTAGAACACCCACTTCGCCCACATTGCATACCTGAATTCATTGTAATCACGTTAACTTTTTATGGAAGATTTGAATTTTGTACTCATTCATTGGTTATACCTGTGAACTGATAAGGAGACCCACAAGTGACTATTTGTTTCTTCCCTCCACAGGTGAATCTGAGGCAAAGGTCCGATCTCTATTCGCGGAAGCTGTGAAGTTGGCACCCTGTATTGTGTTCATTGATGAGATTGATGCAATCACTCCTAAAAGAGAGACAGCACAACGAGAGATGGAAAGGAGAATAGTGGCACAGTTGCTTACTTGTATGGATGAACTGAGTCAGCCTTTAGCTCTGGTTGATATGGATTCAAAGTCTGAGAGCAAAGCTCCAAAGCGTCCAGGCCATGTTATTGTAATTGGAGCTACAAACCGGCCTGATGCGCTGGATCCCGCACTTCGTCGAGCCGGTCGGTTCGATCGGGAAATTGCTCTGGGTACCTTAAACGCCTTTTATTCGTCGTTGAGTAGCTTCTAATCTTCGTAATTAGATGGATTTTTTTCCAGTTGTGGGATTTTTCAAACCTAATATTACTTCGGGTTAAGTAATATGTGAGAGAATGCGTTCTTAAACAGCTTTATTCACCTGTCTAGTGTTCTTCTGTCCTAGTCGCCTACAGTGCATGCTCCTGCGTGAACTGCAGCAAGTGAATTGAATCTCTCCATGTAGATTTAGGCTTCAGTTGTTTACAGTTTTACTGGTTGGTTAGGAGGATGTGCTTCGTCTTCATGTTCTCAGTTAATCAGTGCTTTGACTTAATTCCTTTGCCTTTCTTTGTATTTAGGCATCCCAGATGAAAATGCCAGAGCCCGCATCTTATCTGTTTTATCTGGACAGTTACGTTTAGAAGGTTCTTTTGACTTCAAGCGCATTGCAAGACGAACTCCAGGCTTTGTGGGTGCAGACTTGGCTGCTTTGACCAAGGAAGCAGCCGCTTTAGCTGTAAAGAGAATTTTCGCTGGCATGGAGACCAGGTAGCTTGTCTTATCCCCGATTGTATTCCTCCATTGCACATTTCTTAGATGTTCTTCCGAGGTTGATGCTTGACTTGTACGATTTTATTGAACTTTATTTGATTGGAATGTGGAAAGTTCTGAAACGTTTCATTCCTCTGAAGACCTGATGTTTACTCTGTTTCAGGGCATTGCAATTTTCTTCAGCAGATTCCAAGAATGAATTGCATCTACATCTTGAAGAACAAAACACTGATGGATCTAGCAGTGTTAATCATGGCGATAAGAATTCAATGTTGAATTGTGGCAATGTAGAAGAAGAGCCTTCAACCACTGCACTTATCAAAGGAGATGTTTCAAGGGTAAAAGGTCAGTTTGACGGTTCATCTGTAAATGGAGAATTTACCGATGATGTGAGTGAAGATGAGGAATTATGGCGTCGCCCCTGGACTACTGAAGCGATGGAGAACCTTGCAATCACTATGCAGGACTTTGAAGTACTTGAGCTAGAACCTGCACCTGTTGTGTTTGCTAGTCTTGAAGTATGACCTCTCGGGGTGCCTTCTGTGTATGAAGTCCTGTAATTTGTGTAGTGAGAGCAGGCTTGAGATGACTCTGTTTTTATTGGCAATTGTGAACGGTGTGGTTCCATATTTTTTTGTTGTTTCGGACTGAAACAATACAGCATTCATCGTGAGGGTGTAGACGTTTTCAATCGTCTCTCAGTTTATTCTAGATTTTAGGTCTTTGCTGTGGAATCTAAAAGCAATATCTTTTTATGCAGGATGCTGTAGAAAAGGTTCAGCCATCTGCTAAACGTGAAGGCTTTGCAACAATACCAGACGTTACATGGGATGATGTCGGTTCGCTATGTGATGTTCGTGAAGATCTTGAATTTTCCATTTGTAGAGCCATCAAGTTCCCCGAGGAGTACCAGGTATTTAAGCGACTTTGAAAATGTATTGTTTTTGAACTGTTGTTAGGGTATTTGGAATGTCGAGAAACAACTTTGGGGACTCGTGGATTTCAAGCGTGTAAGGAATGAGGGTGGAGAACTTTGCCCTCTTCGTTACCGAATCGTAAGGTGGATGTGTATTAGACTTTTTAGGGGAGGCCATTTTCATCATAAAAACTGTTTACACTGTGACCTGAAGGCACTGGGAATGGAAATGGCTACTGGAGTTCTTCTCTATGGTCCACCTGGTTGCGGTAAAACTCTTGTGGCAAAAGCAATTGCGAACGAGGCAGGGGCCAATTTTATTTCCGTGAAGGTGAGAGCCAAGTTGGATAAATCATTGTCTTGTACATCTTATGTTTCAGTCCAATAATGGTTTTATTATATTGAAGCGCACGTTCTTGGTCTTGTTTTGTAAGCTGAGTGATGTTGGTTAACAGGGGCCAGAACTACTTAACAAGTACGTTGGTGAAAGTGAGCGTGCCATACGTCAGCTCTTTACCCGTGCTAGAGCCTCGTCTCCTTGCATTCTATTTTTTGATGAGGTGAGTTCTTAATATAAGTCAACTAATCTTCACTAGTAACCTTCTGTCCTTTCTTCATGTATATATTATCCGGCTTCTGAACTGCTTTCGTTTACTGCTACTTAATCTTGTAGATTGTTTTGGTATTGTTGTTCAGATGGATGCAATGGCACCTAGACGTGGTAGTGATGGCAATGGCGCCGCTGAACGTGTAGTTAACCAGGTAAGGAAAATATGTTCTCAAGTATTCAAGCTCTTGATTGAGTGTTTACTACGATTTTTAGCTGACTGTTAATTTTCACTTCATCTAGAAGAAGCTTCAAAATGAAAATCATATTGGGTACGCTGCATTGCAGTTGTTGACTGAAATGGATGGGTTGGAGCAACGAAAAAGTATTTTTCTTATTGCAGCTACAAATAGGTAATAATCTTCGGACATACGTTTACTTTATTTGCAGTTCCGTTAGAGTAAGTATGGTGTGGTTTTCTATCTAGAGTTTAGACTATGTAGTTTTCTTAAATACGTGATTCACCTCCGAGTTGGTGTAGACTAGCTGGATCAAATCTTGGTCATTTTATCAAATGTTGTTTGTGTGCAGACCTGACATGATAGATCCAGCTTTATTAAGGCCTGGACGTTTGGACACACTATTGTATGTACCGTTGCCTGACGCTCCAGGACGTGCATCAATTATGAAGACATTGGCTCGGAAGGTACCAATTGCTCCTGATGTTGATGTGGGCGCAATTGGAGCAAGCAATCAATGTGAGGGCTTTAGTGGGGCTGATCTCGCTGCATTGGTAAGTAGTTCTTTTACCTATAAGTGCAAGGAAGATATAAGTATCCATTGTTTGAAAGTGCGATGTGCAGGTAAACATTATATGAATTTGTAGGTCGTGCTTGGGTTTGCCTCCGCATTGTGCAGTGCTCAAAGGCTTGTATATGTAATTGGCTGATTGGATCTCTTTTGCTTCTTAACATGTTAGTATTTTTCTTTTTTTATTCAGGTGCGAGAAGCATGCACTGCCACTTTAAAGGACAAGATCAGGAGTTCAAATGGGACTGACCATATGTCACATGCAGTGGATACCGAATCTGAGGCTTTATGTGTTACATCTCGTCATTTTGAAATTGCCTTGACTCGAGTTTTTCCTTCCGTATCTAACACGGTAAATAGTACTCTGGATCATCTACACATGTCGGTGAAATTTCATCCAGCCTTATGATACTATGCATTCAAGTATTGTTTTTAGGATATGGTTTACATGAAATCTTGCCTTCTGTCTATTCTAGAAGGATTTTTGATAGAAATTCTTGGTTCTACTTGTTTCTTCTTGAAGACGAGTTTTATATTCAAAGAAACAATCGTAGTAAATGATCATCTAATCATTGCCCTTCTAAATCAAGATGGTTAGGACTTCATTTTATCTTTTTCTATTTGGACGACGGAATTGATCTTTCGAACGCATTAATGAGTTTTATCTACTACAGGATCGCAAGAGATACGAGGCTTTGCGACGGAAACTGCGGCGTTCCCGGGGTCATCTTGAGAAACAAGAGGGAGAAACTGAAACGATTGTACCATTAGATGATGTAGCGGGCGGTAAAGAGAATCTGGCGTCTTAACTGTCCAACTTTATCAAAAGAAATGCATGAGAATGTATAGGATTAGAGTAGTATTATTCTCTATTTTTTTACTAAGAAATGTACCAAATTTCATTCAAGTCGAGAATACAGTTTTTGCACGTGATATTTAATTTTCTTTGAAGATTAGTACTTGCACACCTGACCCAGCTTCGAAACTTTATGGTCTAGTGGTAATGTGGGTTGCTTGATTGACTCGTTGAGTTAATGTTATGTTTGGGATAGTTGTAAGCGCAATGAACGCGTCAAATTCTTACACTGTTTATGTTTTAATGAAAAGGCCCATGACACATCTTGCGTTTGCGAACCTTACACTGTAAGTTTTATTGGGCCCTGAGAGTATGCTGGCATTTAATCTTGCCTTATGTCTATGTATTAAAGGGTCCTAAACCTTGCAAATCGGTAAGCAGAATATGGCTAGTTTTATTAGGCAACGCCCAAGTTTGTAGACAATCTGCGTACTATTTGATTTTTGTGTCGACTTTAATTTCTTTTTATCTTGGAATGAACATGGAGGAACTAGGAGGACATAGCATCAGAACAGGTGTCCTTAAATGTGAACCTCTTCTCAGCAGGAATTGTCTTAAGCACTAAAAAACAACCAGTAGCATCCCTGCGTCCTGGTTTCAAAGTGCAGCACTGAACCTTTCAAACCGATTTGTAAAAGCTTAATCTCCTGCGTCCGAAAGAGTCCGCACCCGATTCAATTACAGAGCGTCAGGTTGATCACCAAGTCGGAATCCTGGAGAGTACCGTAAGTTTGCCCCAGATTGGAACGAGAAATCTCAGAAATCAATCCTCTTCAGCCTCTTTTCATCATGAACCAATCGTACATTTTCACCACTACATTGACTTCGACGAGGTTCATTAATGAAATCAATCACCAGGTGCATCCGCACTTCTACTGGTAATACGAACCAAACCCTAGTGAACCTAGGAACATCCATAGCTTCAGCAATTCAGTAGAAGAATTTCGTACCCTGAGTTGGTATTATATACTCTTACATGCAGGAATGGATGAGAATGTGGGAGCGGGAGTTGGAGACGATCGCATCAAATGAAGTCATCTGATCCCACCCGAGGCAAATCCAAGATGCTACAACATGCCGAGGAATAGTGCTCCAACATGCTTTGCTTCATCATTTCAATCAACTACCTTTACTCAGCGTTTGACGTGGAATGAAACGTCAGCCGATCACACTGTGATACTGCACCAACATACAATGCAAATCCTGTTTCTAAACAGCTAATCTTCTTGCAAAGCTTGCAGGTATTTCCTATGGCCTTATTGACTGTCACGGACTGTTGTTGCGATTGTAGATGATTCAGTGATCTGGGTACATTGAAAGTAAACAATCCTTCAAACTCACTAGAATTGCAGTAAGATCTCCTAAAACAATTTTGCTCTTACATCTGAGTTGGTGCACAGTAGTATTCCAGTGCCGAGAGTTTGTGGGGCCCTGCTTAACTGATCGAACAAGGAAATTTGTGTGTCTTCGTTTTCAACTCATTTGGGTGTTGTGAGTTCCTAATGCATGACAAAGAAATGTAAGCCGAAAGCAGACTGAAGGTGGTTGGTAAAGTAGCTGTTCAATTGCATGATGTGCTCTTCAGTTTGATGAGTAATGTTGGTTTAGAACTCAACAAACAAAGAATAAAAATTAAAAAACACAATTGCTTTGAATTTCTATGAATGGGACCATCTGATTAGTACTTTTAAAAAACTTCAAACAAAGAAATATCTTTTGCACTAGATCAAAAGTACTAATTAGATGGTTGGGCACCTATTACAATTGTTGGATTTTTTTTGTTGATTAGAGAGTTTAAATAGAGAGCAAATGAAAACAAGCTTCTTTGAGAGTCAATTTTGGATGATTTGAGTTTGCAATGACTTTATAAACTTTGGTTTTTGTGAAATAAAAAAAAATTATATTTTAGAGAATTTTGTAAGGTTTCAAGAAAATCTATTAAAGTAAATATGTAGATTTGTGAATATAATTGTGTGGAGTGTGTGTTGTAAATTTGAGCTTAATTAGATAATTAAATTATAGGTTATTGATATTAAAGTGAATTAAAATCTTAAAAATTTAATTTTAAGGTCTACTAAGGTTTTTTAAGATTCGCAATAATTTGCCAATTGAATTGAAGTTAAATTTAATAGAATAGTATCAACCTTAAATTCTAAAAAGTGTACAAAATTTGAAAGAAATTAAACAATGAAAGAAAGAAATATTAGTACTAGAAAATTGGCATTAAGGTTGAAAAAGGAGGCTAGCCAACACTTTATTGGATTATGAGCTTTTTCTCCCAATTGGTGATTTTGATCTTCTTCAAATTTATTTTGCTATTTTTCAACTAAGAAAAAGAAAAGTATGAAAATTTTGAATCATGATCAATTGTTAAATTATTAATTATTGAGGTTTTAAATCTTTTATAGGATTTGATTAATTTTTTTTTAGAATTTTATTAAAATTTGGTTAGGATTACTTAAAATCAATTAAGATTTAATTAAAATTTGATAAATATTATTTTAGGATTTGATTAAAATTTAGTTTGAATTGGTTAGAATTGATTAAATTTTGATTAAATTTTGATTAGGATTTTTTAAGGATTTCATTAAGATTTGATTAAAATTCCTTTGGATACTTTAGGATTTGATTAGGATTTTTTGAAGATTTAATTAAAATATGATTAAAATTACTTATCATAAATTAAAATTTGATTAATATTTTATTAGAATTTGATTAAGATTTGATTAGGATTTGTTACTAAGAACATAAATTATAAAAAAAAACCGAATTACACTCTTGTATCACTCAAAAAAAAATTCATTTAAAAGTGCTATAGTATTTAAATTAGAATAACTATTACAAAACAAGAAGATCAAAGACTCTTGAAACAAGATTATAAACAAGAATGATGTTAATAACGATGAGAATGCTTTATTCTTACCTCCATATATTCTACCTAACTAGGAGCTATGTAGTGATATTTTATAGAACCTCTAATACATGTTCAACTTACAAAATATATGTTTAATAAGTTTTTTACATATGCACCACATAACGAACTTGTACCACAAATTGCCAACATATGCAACATGTTGCCAACTTATTGGCTAAGTTTCTAATCAATCAATTAATTACAAAGAAATATAAAAACAAATCCAAATCTATGAAGCTTCTAAGAAGATTTTCTACAAGATACTAGCAAAACTACATATATTTATTTTTCACCTAACATCTCTTATTTAAAAAACTATATATGTTTGTAACATTTTTTTTTTTTTTAGAAACAAATTCCATAAAGGGCAGTGATTACATATTGAAGACGTCAAAAATATAATAAATTATATTTTTTACATATTCTAATCTTTATTTCTTTTGAAATTAGTTGATAGATTTTTTTGCCATCAAGAAGGTTTCATACTAGAGCATGAAGACCACCTTAAAATTTGATCATTGTTGAAGTCTTTTTGTAATTTTCTTTAAATAGAACTTTTGAAATACTATTAAAGATGGTTTCTATTTTCAAAAATATTATCAAATGTTGAGATTTTCTTTCAAGGTTGTGATATCAAATATATTTATCTCACTATCTGTTTAAAAAAAAACATATTGTTCTTGAAGGTCATAAGTATATATATATATATATATATATATATATATTTTTTAATTTATCTATTCATAAATAAGAAATGGTCCAAGTTTATAGTAATCCAACTTGTTACAAAGGCAATTAGTTGTCAAAAATATATATATTTATCTTAATATTTATTTATATGATCAAGTAAAAATAGATAAAACTATATTTATTTTAGTATATTTTTTAGTGAAGCTTCCTAAAAGCTTCATAGACATTGTTTGACTTTACATGTATTTGTAGTTGATTGGTAGGTTAGAAACTTGGTCAACGAGTTAATTACTTATTGATAGCTTGTGGAACAAGCTAACTATGTGGTGTACATATAGAAAACTTGTCTTGTAAGTTAAAATATGTGTCTTATAAAGTCAATACATTTTGGAAGTCCTATTGGATATCGCCACATAGCTCCTAGTTAAGAACATATATGGAGGCAAGAGTGAAGCCTTCATCACTCTTGTCAATGCCTTTTTAGTCTTTAGTCTTATTTCAAGACTTTATAATCTTTTTGTCTTTAGCAATAGCCATCCTAGTTCAATATACTACCGTCTTTAGTCATTTCTTAGTCGTTTTGAGTGATAGAAGAGTGTATAGGGGATTTCTTTCTTTGAGATTCATGTCCTTGATATTGATCTTGATATTTTGACAAAATAACTATATCTTATTACCAATGTCAAATTAAGGCTATTCTTTATGCTAGGCATTTTTATTGATCTTTTGTTCTTTTTGAACTTTTCTTTAATAGTTCTTTTATTATTTCATGTAGCTTTGATAAATGATTTGTTAGATATTTTGCTACAGGATTATAAACATTTATGAAGTCAAAAGTATAAATTTATAGATGATGATCATAATTAATATAGAAATATATTTATTAATTAAAAAAAATACCATATTATTACAAGAAAAATTTACTAAATATAAAAGTATAGTCTTGTTATTATAATGGTAATTGATGATTTATCTCAAATATTATTTTATAACTTGATTCATCTATTCTATTTCTTTTTCAATTTGAGAATAGAAAGTTGAAGATAGTTTTAAGTCCACCTTTAATATCTTTAAAAGGATTTTTTTTAAAACCATAATGTAAATTGAGTTCTTTTATTTAATATAATTTTTTTTGATAATCTATAATACTAATAAATATTATCAAAGAAAAGTTTAGTTGTTTTTTTTTTTACCTATGATAATTTTTGTATATAGTATAATATATGCTATCTTTGTGAAATAATCTATTATTACAAATATAAAATCATAAAATTTTAGATTAAAAGATTTCTAATAAAATCTATAAAAATAAAAAACTATAATTATTTTGGTATAGGTAGTAGTTAGAAAAGTCCATAAAATTGATGATAAGGATTTTTTGATTTAAAACAAATATCACATGATTGTACAAAGTCTTTAACTGCCTTACGTATTTGAAGCCACAAAATATCTCTTAATATTAATTCTAAGATCTTGTTGTATCTAGAATAT